GGGACAGAAAACCTCCTGCGTTCGTACATTACGGGGCTGTAAGACTATAGGGACACCACACTGAAGGAGGGCAGCTGGGAGAACTGGCCTTCACTTTCTGCTTAGCCATCGTTCCGTATTTCTGTCCTTGTTGTCGGGGAGCCAAACGGAGACCACGACCGGACTTTAATAGCTCCCTTTAACCAGCGCTCACAGACTCTGCTGCCTTATGAAGCTGCAGGCTCAGTGAATCTACACTCCCCTGGCTTATATCTCAAAGTACAACGCTGCATTTTGACCCTGTGCCCTCACACTGCACACACAAACACGCTCCGTGCTCGGCCTGAGGAATGTGCAGGTCGTGCTCTGCTGATGCAGGCGTCTCGCTGGAGGTCGGACGTCCAACGCGCTGCGCCAACTGCCGGCTGTTACTCTATCCTGTCCCGGGTGTCTGATTCTCACAATCAAACGCTCGCAGCTGAGTCAAGGGGCCGCTACGCAAGCACTGTGTAATGTCAAAGCTCAGTGAAGTGGTCCAACAGCCTGCAGGAGAGGTTTCAGGTGACCGCAGTCAGCTCCCACATTTAACACACAAACCCCCAAACACATCATCTGGTTGCAATTTAATTTAACAAGAAAGCAAACGAACAAAGCTCCGCTGCAGCTTTATTTACAGCATGAAGTAGAACGACACGTCGCCTTCCTCCACAGGGTCTCTGTCGCTTTGTTTAAGCAGGTACATCGACTCTAAATGTCAGGGTTGATTCATTATTCGCTAGGTTTGCAAAACCGGCCTGAATCTCACACGTTCAGCTCTTGTTCTGGAAACACCCAGAGACGTTTGAGTGGATGCAGCTGCTGGAATTCAGAAAAATGTGTCGCACAGACGACGACGAGTCTACGGTTTGTGACGCTCCACATTTAGTGGCTGATTTTGAGAAGAGCTGCCAGCTGCAGGGTTCACGCCGAGAACTTCATACCTTAAAATACCTTTAAAAAACAAACACAGGAGTTTTATAGGCAGGAAATAACTTCATGGTTGAATGCAACTTTTCATCTTCAGGCTCTCACCACTTATTGGAGCCGAAGACTCTGGGGGCCAAGGTGGGAACCAGGTAGTCAGCCAGGCAGAGCAGCATGACGGAGCAGGAGAGCCCAGTCAGCACCGACGGGTCCAGGTAGTAAATCAGCCTGAGGAAGAGGAAGAGGAAGACAAAGCAGCGAGTCACGGTTACGAACCAGTTTCACATCCAGCGCTCACAAAGGAATGAGGAGTATTTTGCATCATCCACTCGTGACTCGTGTTGTTGTTCATTTCCCCTCGTCGAACAGAAGCAGCTGCAGTGTTAGAAACCAGAGATTAAGAGGCTCAGTGGCCTCGGGGGGAATATAAGAGAGGAGTGTGTTAGAAAGAGTCATTCAGTAACAGGAAACAGCCCGTTAGTGCGCCAGTTGTTCCAGATTTACTCCGACTAACAAAAGATGGTTGTAGTTTAAGCTCATTGTGCAAAATCTAATCTGGTGTAATCTACAGTTTCCTTCTTGTGATGCGTTTAAGAAATGTGGGAAACAACGTTTGAACGTTTGAAGGCACTTCTCGTCTTCGTCTCGTCACACACACACACACACGTTTCCTCCGTCTCTGCAGCCAAACGTGTGTGTGTGTGTGTGTGTGTGTGTGTGGACTCACAGGAAGAGCAGGGTGGTGGCGCCCATCAGAGCTGCAGGGAACCACGGCTTCTCCCAGCGAACGACCCGATCCCCGGCCAGGATCACCTCGCCCCAACCCTGCAGCTGCTCCTCCAGCTGGGCCGTCTCCTGAGCCTGCACACACACACACACACACACACACACACAGAAACACACAGAAACACACACACA